GAGTGAGTGAGTGAATGAGTGAATGAGTGAGTGAGTGAATGAGTGAATGAGTGAGTGAGTGAATGAGTGAATGAGTGAGTGAGTGAATGAATGAATGAATGAGTGAATGAATGAATGAATGAATGAGTGAATGAATGAATGAATGAATGAGTGAATGAATGAATGAATGAGTGAATGAATGAGTGAATTAATGAGTGAGTGAGTGAGTGAATGAGTGAGTGAATGAGTGAGTGAATGAGTGAGTGAATGAGTGAGTGAATGAGTGAGTGAATGAGTGAGTGTCTGCAACTGATACTATATGATACGCGCGGAGAAGAAAAAATGAAGTAAGCGCTAAGCTAAGAAAACTTCCACTTTTAAGAAGCCCGTGTTGTCCCGGCGACTAGTATTGTTTGATTTCGCGCGAGAAAATAACGTAAAGTGAGTGTCACACTAAAAATCTTGCATCTTGCTTTCAGAGTAGCCTGTGTTGGCCTTAGTCTAGCACCACTCATGCTTTCACCACGAGGTGTGGGTCAGCATTTTCGATGAAAAAAAACACTCCACCGTTTCCATTTTCCGCGGAGCCTATTTAATCATTCAATGCCCATTCGGAGATGTGAATCAATAGACACCTGAGCGAGATGACGTATACACGAAAATTCTGGCATACCGAAGCTTCGCAAATAGCTGTGTTGTACGTGGTAATGACATGATATCGATTAACGTTGGGTACCTGCACAAATTTATTTTATGTACGCAGAAAATTACAGGCATGGCCACGCTTATTTTTTTATTATTTTTATTATTGCACGGGAGTGGGCCTACTCGGCATCGTAAAAATGCACCCATGGCAGCGCCAGTAGAAATTTATGGCCGCTAAATGAATGTAAAAAAAATAGAGACACGGGATACAAAAAAAAATGCTGTTGTTAGTATGGCGATAGAATATTCAGCCACGTAAACATGCACAGGTTGCCCCAGGAATAATGCGTACACCTGGCCGAGAACTGCGATGGTGCCTGTTAGTTTCTGCGGGTACGTTCATTCACAGATGCGTGTGTCTTCAAAACAGCGCTTGACCATACACCTGAACCTGCTACGCACAAATGAACCAATAAAGTTTTATTGATTATAGAGCTACTACGCCGTGTCCCCTATTTGAAAAATATGCGAGTATATAAGCTATATGCATTTTTTGTCGATACACAGTACCACAATCCCGCTTTTAACAAGGTCCCACATACATCCGAACACCATATTATTTGGGTGACGTCTCCCGGCTATGACTATCTATTTATCTAGGGTTCTAGTAGGAGTGTAACTATTCTTTAAAAATCTGCCTGAAAATTTAAAGCCTAAACTACCAAACTATACCATCATGCTAAAACATTCGGCTAACGAATTCCCTCCTCATTACACACAACTTCAGTTAATGAAGGCCTTTTTTTTCCTTATGTTGTGCCACTTTTATGCTTTTAGATCTGTGGAATGATTTATTAGGAGCTCGAAATGTTGCTGCTAGAATTAAAAGCATCATGCCTGTCACTTGCACGGACCAGAAGTTAACTTCTGGTCACGTGGTTAGTGACATTAGGCGAGGCCACAGGGCAAACAAATTTGAAGAATTTAGACACCAAGCTAAACGCTTTCTTTTGTTGCAACCATTATAACCAAGCTTGCCGAGAACTCAACTGAAACTTAAGACTGAAGAGCTCTGGTATCTCGTGTTTACGAAAAGTACGTGCCACGACTTGAAAACCGGACATCTTCAATGTTTATCACGTCCTCCTTGAGTGTTTTGAAATGCTTTCGCCCGGGTCGTCGCCGTGACTTACGCTAGCTCGCCTATCTTTATTTGTTTGCACGCCGGTTCACTTTTTTACAAGGCTGTCTTGAGGCGTCTCTTGCTTTGCGGGCACCTCTGAAACAGCACAGCGGCATCGACTGGGGCCAGGTTTCAGCCAACATGAATATAAAAGCAGTATATAATATCACGCGATGATTTATTTAAACATTTTCGTTGTTCGCTACGAATGCGTTACAAATAAGACCTTCGGGTTCTACATTTATAATTTTTTAGAAAGAAAATATTGCCTCACGTCTGTTATAAATTACTGAATGTTTGTCGATATCCCTAAGTAATAAAATCGATCATGAAAGCAAAGGGAGATATATAGTTCGTAAGAGCAACAGTTTTATGCCCGAAAAAATAAAGAAAGAAAAAAAGCTAATTACTGTGAAGCTACCTTACGCCTTCTTTCTCACCATGTTGCTGTTTCACTTAAAGTAATTTTGTGTATTCATTTCAAGTGCTTTCGACCAGAGGGTAATGTGATGAAATGTAATTGAAAAATGGGAGCACGTCAACTCGCTTCACGGTGATTCTGCAGTAATATGCTTTATGAAATGTGTTTTCAGCCGTCGCGACGCTTGGTCACTTCCGTGCATAAAAAACTAAGTACGCTTTCAGTGATATGTGTTAGCCCAAGGCACGCCGGAAGGCACACGACGCAAATTTAATGGCTGTAAATGCAAGAACACATCACTTCTGATATCGAACACAGTATTTAGACGGCAAAAATTCATGCTTTCATCACTTGGAAAAGTTACAGGGAAAGAGAACAGACTGAATGGACGAGCGATCATCCAAGATTATTCGTCCAGGCTTCTGCAAAGAAAATCCGTTTGGCCAATTAGGGCAGAGCGGTCAGTATAAAGTAGAAACACAAGACTGTTCGTAAAAAACGACCAAGACTGGGAGTTTAATATGGAAATCAAGGGGGAGACTGTTGCATATGTCGCATGCAATAACCATTAGCCAACTGGAAAGGAACAAAAAAACGTATCAGTTACAGTGACAACGCTGGTGTCTTCATCAACACTATTTGTACATAATTGCATGTTCAACAAGCGCACAACTCAAGCGTGCCATAACGCAAAAAATCACTGAAAGTTACGAAACTGCCTGATGCGAATTCTGAGCACAGTTTCTTGTACGAGCAAAGCCAACTTTTTTTTTACTGATTTGGCTCTCCACGAGGTATAGGCTACGTCATAAATCACGATTTTTGTGAAGTAGGGTGGCACTCACCGCGCCATTATTCGCCTGTCTGCGGGTAAGCAAAGTACGCACTAGGCACCTGTGAGGGATTATGTACACGTTTGTTTATGCTGCGCGTGACTGATATCGATGAAGAATTATGACTGAGCACTTTGAAGCGGGTGGGAAACATTACACCACGCACTCATCGCATATTTAGCTTTACGTGATCACCGGTTGTTATCTTGCTCTTCTGCCACACCCAGTTACATGGGTTAGGGCGATTGCTTGCCCGGCATGACGCTTGTATAGGGTCCTCTTGCAAATTAATTCCGAGCACCATTGTGGCTCTATGGTAGGATACTCAACTGTCCCGTAGAGGGCCCGGGTTGAAATTCTAATACTGGTCTTTTTTTCTCACTTCTTTGATGTCTATTAGTTACTTTTCAATGTCTAGCGGCTGCGAAGGCGACGGCACTGATGTCAATTTTCATCTATTTGATCTAGGTTATGCGCATTATCACCTGCTTAGATACCCCAGTCCAGCACGATACCGTTTTCAGGTGCTCGCTATGTCGAGCGTGAACTAACCTGCTACATAGGAACACGCCTTTCTGCTCGCAAGGAGTTATATCTGTGTTCCTGGCGTACTCTGAAGCCACATGATTTGCTCTCGTTACGACAAAAAAAATGCTTTACCAAGTGCCACACAGCGTTCCATAACGATTTTCGGGTTGGTACGTGCAAACAGCACAATATGAATATGAGGAACGCCGTAGTGAAGAGCTTCAGAAATTCTGATCATATCGTTTTATTTTACGAACACCGACATGGTGTAGTACACGAGCCCGAAACATTCCGCCTCCACCAAAAATGCGACCGCCGCCATCAGACTCGCGGGTCAGCAGTTCCACAGTGTTCCATTCACTCGTCTTGGCCTTTCCCTTCATCCGCGTCGTCTTATATATCTGGTATGCCTGCCTAGAACTCGCCTCTCAACAAGTCATCGTCGCTTTTGAACAGGAAGAGCAGGAAGAAAGTTTAAGCGGTAAGACAGGGAGGTTAGCCAGTTCTTAGACAGGCTGGCTACCCTGTGCAGGGGAAAGGGGTGAGGGAAATAAGAGATGTTAAAAAGAAATGTTGCGAAGAAAAGGAGAAATTACAAAAAAAAATGCGACAGAGGAAAGGCAACACCAAAGAGTATAAGACACTAAAGTCTGTCTCTGAGGCCAGTTGTCCGCAAAAAACGCACCAAAGCTTTCAAAGCCTTCTGGGCTGAGGATGGGCTCCGCCAAGCTTTGGCAGAGTATTTGTTCAACGCCCCTGAGAACACTGTTTCGGAAAATAAATGTTTCTTTCACCATCGTCATCATCAATGTCTACACTATAGAATACATTAATGATATCCAAGAATGTACGTCCCGAAATCACAATTCGATTGTAAGAGACGCCGTAACGGAGGGCTCCGGAAATTTCGGCCATCTGGTGTTTTTTAACGTCCGCTTAAATCCAAGTACACGGGTTTTAGGAATTGTCACCTCCATCGAAAACGTCTCAACTGGAGGATTCCCATTAGAACTGTTGCAGTTTTACCAATATATTTGTTTCAACTCATTCGTCCGACTTCACCCTATGACGTCGTCAAGGCACCAGTGATCAAAAAGTTTTCTAATGTCATCGGGATGCCATGGTGACGTCCCATAACATGGCGTCATCACACGACATCGTCGCTTGCGCATAGGGGAGCCGATTCTGGAGGCAATGCTAAACCACGCTGGATTGAGGAAGCTATCGGGAGCGGGGTTTCTCATGCAATAGAATGAGAACAAAAAGGAAAAGTTACGAAGACGTTCACCTTCGACGACCTTAGGTGAATGCGTAAGAGACCCCACCGGTTTCCTCTTTTTACAGAATCCGACCGAAGAGCACAGAAGTCGTGACGTACGAGGCGAGAGGGGATTAGCCGGAAAGTTCCGCCATGCTGACTGCGGCCAGCCTCGAGTCCCTGCTCCTGCAGATGCTGGACAAGCTGGACTCGCCGTCCTCAGCCAGTGGACGCCATCGAGGACGCCAACGCGGCGGCGGTGGCCGTTTCTCTCTTCGCGCCGAGATTCGGACGCTGGACCTGTGGCGCGCCGTGGTGGGCGAGTGCCTGGCCACCTTCTTCTACGTGTTCCTCGTGTGCGGCGCGCACGTGTCGTGGCCCGGATACGCCGAACCTTCGGTGCTGGCCATCTCGCTCGCGACTGGAGCCGCGGCGGCGGCAGTGGTGCAGTGCTACGCGCGCGTCTCCGGCGCCCACATGAACCCGGCCGTGACGCTGGCGGCATTCGCGACGCGCAAAGTGAGTTCGCTCCGTGCCCTGCTCTACGTGACGGCCCAGTGCGGAGGGGGCATCGCCGGAGCGGCCCTTCTCTACGGGTGAGTGACGCACGCATTCACGTGTGCCTGTGCGTTTGTTAACCGCGGATCTGTGTGGGGTCGAGATAAAACTAAGCCATGTGTAGTGTAACGCAGCTCTCAGTGAGTATGCGCCACAGAAATCGGGCTCCACCTCGTGGGCAACTCTCCTTAACCACATACGAACACTCTTGGAGGGTGGTCAGCGAAACATCATCTTAGAGCTCGGACTCTCACTTCTCTTCTGAAAATAAGTGTTTTTCATCTCTCTGTTGTTTACTTATTATGAACAAGCTTTCACACAAGCTTAGGCGGCACACTCCAAGCGAATATGCGCCACAAAAACTGAGAAAGTTTCACTACTGACATCCGGTTCAAAAAACGCACAGGATCCCTTATTTCGAAGGTGAAAACCATATTTTTCTTGTCAGATCCTTTATTGACGCTGGTTTGTACTGCCTCCAATATTGGAGGCACCTGCCCTGGTTTAGCGTCGCCTCAGTGATCGGACAATCTCTGAACAAGTTACGAGGTGATGTGATGATGTTATTACGAAAAGCTACGTCATGTGTTTCATCTGGTGACGTCATCACATGATGGTGACTACACGCGGCGGGAAGCAAGACGCCTAGGGTCAAGTTTCGTGTTTCATAAGACATGTAACTCTTTCGCCTTCATAAAAAATTATTATATTCTTATAATAATTAATATTACTTTCTACAGCTATATCCTGGCGAGTTTGTGCCGCGAAAATTTGTTAAGCTTGACTATTTACTTAAGGTCCGCTAAACGTTATGAGCTAAGTTGAGCAGTGAAATAGCGGTATGATCCAACCAGATTCACTGTTTCAGCAGTCTTCGAGACTTCATGGCCGTGAAGCTACTTAAAATTTTCCGGCTGAACGGCGAACTAAACTTTTATGGGATAGCATTATTGGGCTCCTGCACTGTGTTTGCTCGACAGTATGTGTTTCGAGAAACGCTTTACGGCAAATTCCACTCGTCGAGTGGGAGCAGGATTTCAAGCTCCGCGGCTGAGAATTTGCGTTCCGCTGGTAGATTCGGAGCAAATTCGTTTTTCCACCGGTAGATTCAGAGTAAGTTCGCTTTTTTCCGCTGGTAGATTCGGAGCAACCCACTACGCGACGCAACGTTCCGCGTGCTCTGTCTTGCAGAGACGGATTTCGCCGGAACTCTGAGAATGCGTTGCCGTCCTTTCCGGTGCAGTCGGGCAGCTAATTTGTCTTCAGCGTTTTTTAAGGTGGTCTAGTAACCCTGTGCACATTTGTACATTCCTAAAATCGGAAAGCAGTACCCCTGAGACTGCGTGGTCGAAATGCGTACTTTGCGGTGGCGACACAGTTACCATTGAAACGTTTAAAGCGGGAAAGAAAATCGTTTCCCGTACCAGTTTAGCTACGTATGCGTGAACAACTTCCGGAGCGACTTCACGCAGGGCATTCACGTGTTCCACTCGCAGATCTGGCTTGGCGAAATCTGAGCGCGCGCTCCGGGATTTCGGCGGCCGCTCCGGATCTACCAGCAGAATTCGCCTTTAGAGTGCATACGTATACTACGCTATGGGAAAGCAGACAGCCGTCCCGAAAATGTCCGAAAATTACCTGAGTGTTAAACATATTCAAGTATTTCGTACTCAACTACGTGTATGCGAGTTACAGAAAAGTGTAACAATTCAGAGTACTTGTTACTCTACTACACGGTGCAAGAATACTTTCAATGAGCGAACGACGCAAAGCGAGCGCTTGGCGGGGATTGATTGATGATTGATATGTGAGGTTTAACGTCCCAAAACCACCATATGATTATGAGAGACGCCGTAGTGGAGGGCTCCGGAAATTTCGACCACCTGGGGTTCTTTAACGTGCACCCAAATCTGAGCACACGGGCCTACAACATTTCCGCCTCCATCTGAAATGCAGCCGCCGCAGCCGGGATTCGAGCCCGCGACCTGCGGGTCAGCAGCCGAGTACCTTGGCCACTAGACCATCGCGGCGGGGCCGCTTGGCGGGGAGGGACTGATTATGTTCTCGTTTGCGGCGTGCCGATAGATGGCTCACCGGACTGAGGACCGTGGCGGGCTGCTGGCAAATTCCGCAAAGCACATCTGGCCCGTGAGCTACGGTTTCCATATTTGAGAAAACCGAATAATCGCGTGTTTCGCGACACGCATAGAGTGGCGCCGCGAAAGAAGGGGTGATAAGGGAGGAGGTTCACGGTGTGGCGAGGGTGTTATAGCGACGATAAATGAGCACCGCTACTTTCCTACATCAGGGGGCTTTCCTACACCTAGAAGGGGAGAGGGGGGGAGAAGAAGCCGGTGCAAAGTTTGTAGCGCCATCTCCCAGGCTCCTAGCGAAGCAGAACATTCCCGGGCAGCGGATAGTCCCGGCGTTCGATCCCCTAAAGTATTTTCGCACCATGCTCTACTATGAGAGTGCAGAAAGCCGTCCCAGTCAAATGCGGCGCAAGGCCTCTAACAGATTACTCTCACGGTGGGCCAAAACATAAATACGCGTGGTTTATGTATATGAACATTTTACAACCTCCACAGATGCGCTGGTTTTTCTCCTAAGCAGCGTACCGTTAGTGAATAACAAATAACTGCTGTGGAAAAGATATTCGTGTATGACAGCAGCATCATCGTAAAGACGAAAGCCTTTTGTCCACAACTTATTTTGAGAATAGGGGAAAAAGAGTGCTGTGTTTTCTGGCTTGGTCGGTCTCATTAGGTAAGATAACGTTAACAAACTTTTCTTGGCAATTTATTGAAGGCTACAAAGTCAAATCTAGCAAATCCTACCACCACTGAAGGTAGTCCCACAATTTTGTCCTTATTTTCTTCCAGAAATGTGAAAAATACTACCCTCAATTGAGGGGCGAAGCTCCTTAGGCCGTGGGTCATCCCTCCTTTGTAGCAGCAGCAGAAGTAGTAGTAGCAGTAGTAGTAGTAGTATAGTAGTAGTAGTAGTAGTATAGTAGTAGTAGTATGTAGCCACCTCTTGTTTATGAGTGCTCAATAGGTGGCGCTGTATGTATGTGTCCTTGGCAATATTATAACTAGATGGCGTCAGTCGTTTTCACAACATATCCATTAAGTGAATGATGATGAGTGGGGCGAAGGGTCCGTTCATCAATGCGTCCGTCCGTTCGTTAGTTCGTGTGTGCTTCTATCCATCCGTCTGTCCATTCAATCGTCCGAGCTTTCATCCGTCCGTCTGCGCATCCCGACGAACGGACAGATGGACACACGCTTCGCCCCTCTCATCATCATGGATATGCTGTGGATATGCTGTGGATATGCTGTGGATATGCTGTGGATATGCTGTGGATATGCTGTGGATATGCTGTGAACTCCGTGGATATGCTGCGATTTTTGCATGCAGCTCTTTGAGACAGAGCGCAGCTCACACCAGTAAGGTATTCGTATTTGTTTTCTTCGCTGCGTGATGCGCAGCTACACACTTCAGCACTGGACCAAACCGGAACGGCGACACCAGCGACTTCACAAATGGGACCCGGAAATGAGGTTCCGCATTCCTCCTAAATTGAAACGGCAACTCACAAGTATGATCCACCGCATTCGTCTTGGTGTAGCGTACACCAGACGTTACGCACATATCATCGGTCGCAGTGACACCGGTCCTTATTGTGAACACTGTGATGTGCCAGAAACACTTGAGCACATATTTTGTGTCTGCCTAGGATACGCACGTGAACGACAAACACTGATTTCTTCTACTGAAGTATATCGCAGTAGGTCATTAACCGATGAGACCATGTTGGGCCCTTGGCCAGACACCAACAGTGCAACTGCGGTCACAAGAGCAGTTATTACCTTTTTAAAAACAACTGGACTATGTGCGCGGCTATAAAATGTGTCTCAGCTAGAAAGAACACTACATACTCACCTCTCTATCTCACCATCGCCATCCATTAATCTTTCTTTTCCCCTTTTCCTTCCCCCGGTGTAGAGTAGCAGGCTAGAGCAAGCTATCGCTCAGGCCGACCTCTCTGCCTTTCTGTAAATAAACTTACCTCCTACTACCTTCGTATTTGTTTTAGGTTATACATTGTCACTCTGCGTTAAAGCACGCCGGCGGACAAAACCGGATGTCATCAAGGGGCTCTCTTTTGGGCGCGAAGCTCCTCATGCCGTGGGTCGTGCGTCCGCGATGTATGTAGTAGTAGTCGTAGTAGTAGGTAGCCACCTCATCGGCTGGACTAGAGGAGTGGCATGCGCGCACCTCTTTCAATTGAGGAGGAAACCCGCGCACGTAAACCATAAAGAAAAAAAGATTGTTTCAGATGAAATGACTTATACAGAGACGTGTATTGGTGAATTATTCTCCTATAAAATTTGCCTTGAATTTTGTGGTTATTAAAAAAAACTAGTATCAGAGGGATGCACTTTGAGCACTATCCGACCAGAAAAGGTTGCCGCGTTAAACTCGCCGGGCGTAACCTCCTTTGTTTTAGCAAGGCCTACGGGATGGCTTTATTTTATGCTCTCCCATTGTAGAGAACCTAGTACTCTCAATTGTTAACCACTTTTTCTTAACACAGGTGTAGCGAGCCGCAGTGCCATAAATATAGTGAACTCGTATATAGCCATGAACTAGAAGCGGTTAAAGGTGGGAAGTAGACACGAAGCGTAGGCCATAAGAAAGTGCGCGAGTGACCCCTTTCGTTTAGTCCTTGGAATGTCCGCTGGATGGCGGTACTTCTATATGCTGAATACAGATGCTGAATACATAAAAAGATGCGAGATGGCGGTACTTGGAGTGTTCACTTGATGGACGGACGGACGGATGGACGCACAGACAAACAGATGCACGGACGAACGCACGGATGGATAAACGGACGGACGCAGGTACAGACGCACGGAGAAACGTGCGGACGGACGCTTCACCCCACTCATCATCATGCTCTCCGTGGATATGCTGCGATTTTTAAACTGTAGCAAAGATTGGCCTGCTCTATATATGGTCGTTATGCCCCTCA